TGCTTCACGTTGTCGCAGTGTATTCACGTGCGGTTGGCATGAGATTTGGGTTGGACAAGTACGCCGTTTTCCATCTAAAGAGGGGCAAAGTCAGTGACGAGATGGGTGATCTTCAGCTTGTGGATGGAAGCGTCATACATCATCTTGGCGCCGAAGAGTCATATCAATATCTTGGCTTCAATCAGCGTTCCGTGGTGGACGCTGAGGCAGTCAAGGAGACTCTTTGCAGAGAGTATCGGCGGATGCTGCGGAAAGTTTGGAAATCCGAACTTTCCGGGAAGAATAAAGTCGTCGCGTCGAACCCGTTCGCTGTCCCGGTGCTTCTCTACTCCTTTGGAGTTCTCAAATGGAGTAGAGGTGAACTGAAGCAGCTGGACAGAGATACCCGCAAGTTGATGAATATCCACGGAAGTCTCCATCCACGCTCTTCGAGTCCGCGGTTATATTTTCCGCGGGAGAGTGGGAGACGAGGACTTCTCAGTTTGCAGGCTCTACATGATCGTCTAGTCCTCGGTTTAGCTTGTGACGTTATGAATGGTTTGGATCCGCACTTGGAGTTCATGCATGATCGTGAGCTGCTTGGGGTTCAAGCCTTCCTATATAAGGCAGCAGATACCGCAGCGGCGTCCCTCGGTTTAGAATGTCGTCGTGGCTGAAATGGTCAGTTGGCTGGTTATTCATTAACCATCATGGCCAAATCTCGGCGTGGAGCGACCATCAAGGCGGCGGAGCAGTCCACCTTGTTCCGCCCGCACGTTGATAGGCCTATGCATGGCGTATTCTTCCGCCATGTGGAAGAGGAGGGTCTCTCCGTCCAGCTGACATTTTCTTTCTTGAAGTCAGCTGGCCTGATGTCCGAAACTGAGGGTTTCATTTGCGCCTGCCAGGATGGTGTGGTAAACACCCTTGTCTATCGATGTCGTGTTATGGGGTTGCAGGTTCCAGACATTCGATGTCGGGCTTGCAAGCAGTCCCCGGAAACTCTAATGCATCTTCTATCGTCTTGCCCGACATATGCCATCACGAGTTATATCCATCGACATAATGCGGCTTTGAGAGTGCTGTATTTCTATCTGCGGTACTCTTATGGGATAGACAGAACACCACTGCTGTCGTATGCTCCAGGAGATATTGAGTTCGTTGTCATGAACGAGAGGTGTAAGATTTTCTGGAACTTCTCGTTCGTGGCTGTCAGGCCAATCATTGCGACGAAACCTGACATCGTCCTCTTTGATTTTGGTGACAAAATCATCTGTCATTGAGTTCTCAGCTCCGGCTGAGAGCAACATCACAGTGAAAGAAGAGGAGAAACGGCTCAAATACCAATCACTCCTGTTTGAGCTACGTTAAATAAACAGAGGATTTAAAGTGAAGTTGGTTGTCCTTATCATTGGCTCTCTTGGGGGAATGAAGGAGTCATTCATATCTGCGCTCAAAACCATCCCGGCCTGTAGGAGTCAAGCCTTCAGTTTGGCTGGCCAGATGAAGAAGGCAGTCATCCTCGGGTCCCTCCGTCTACTTAGGCAGCATGATTCTGGACTGCAATAGAGCTCACTCTCTGGTCAGAGGGAGCACTATTGCAGAGCGATTAGGAAGTGCTTGCATCGCTTAGCTTATTGTGCGGTCTTCGAGGTGAAATCGGAATCCTCGATGATCGTTCAGCGATCTCATTTACGAGTAAAATAATAATAATAATAATAACCCTTCACGATTAAGAAAATTATGTATACTAGACAATAAGAATAATTTCTGAATAAATAATTTATGTAATCCTATAAATTGCGCGTTATATAGTTATTTCACGTTACCATCACATTTCCCACTCACCACCCCTTTTCCATCTGCCGGCCATTTTCCACCCATCATGCCGGCATGCCGCCGAGGGGCGAAGGGGAGACGTGCACGTGCACTTCCTGGAAAAAGGGGGGAGGGAGCGTGGGAAATTTCCCAATCTCGGCCCCTTACTACTATCATATCAATTATTCTATGTACTGTGATGTGTTATTTTCCGTCACAAATAGCTTTTCTTTATTCGACCGTTTCGTGTGTGGGGTTACTAATTTTGAAATCACCAGACGGGAAGTCACCAACCGACAGCGAGAGTCACGAGAGAGGTTCAGTATATTTTGTTAATTATTTTATTTTGTATTTCCTCCGGTATTGTTTGAATCGAATCTGGCGCCGACATTGTGGGACTGAGGTGGCAACGTCTCCGGGAATCGTCGAGAGACTTCGGGACACTTCGAGTTCGTGATGCGAGCCTCATGGGTCTTCGGATTGCCAGAGGTCGCCAGCTCTCGGGCAACGCTAGGGAAAATGTGACGTAGGTCGGGACGTAGGTAGTCCGACTGGTTCAATGCGGAAGGGGAAGTGGAGGATTTCACCGAAATCAGAAGGAGGTTGAGTTGAATCGTCCTTTGGGGATAGAATGGTCTGGAGAATGATTTAGAAGGATGTCAGAGGACATTCGGATTTATTTGATATTTTGGGATAAGTTGTTTTTGAATAAATGACGTGTGAGAAGTCACTGCGCATGCGCCGACGGACTTGGTTCGGCCATGTGAGCGACAGATTCTAGTTGTTTAGACACGGATTGGAGGAGTGAACGGAACGAGCAGCCAATGAGCGTCGTTGCCGCGTTTTCACGGTCCAGCGTGGTGTCGCTGGGGAAACGAACCTCACTTCCCGTTTGGTGATTTCGCCAGACGTTGTGTCTGCTCAAGTTTTGGAGTTCTATTGCGTTAATTTCGGAGTTTTGGGGAGCTTGAAGGCGCTCTGAAAGGAGAAATAAACCTGTGGAGGAAGCCCCGAGTGGATTTGTCTGGAGGAAGATCCCGAGGACTCGGATTTGAGGAGTTTTTGGAGACGTTTTCCGGAGACACCGAGGTGGACTGCTGGGTGAGCGGGATAGCTACAACTTTGTATGACGCATCTGTGTGAATTGGTCGTGAGTAGGACTCTGGCCAATTTTACAGTTTTGAACAGATGTTTTATGCATCTTAGTCCCGTAGGACTTTTAGAGTTTCGAAATAATTGCCAGATAGAGTCCTAGTCACTCTGATCAGTAATTGATTAGTGGGTCTCTTTTGTCTCTCTCGCGTGTGTATTTGGAATTAATGTGTCTGATCATTCGATTTCGGTTATCTCGCGACATTGATTTATGTCGTAAAGTTTCGGGCTCTCGTGGTTCATGTTGCGAGTGACAATTATTTTATGAATATTTTATTTTGAAATGATACTTGGAAAATTAATTAGTGTTGCGTTTGAGTGAATTTGTGTTAGACGAACACTCTCGCTGTCGGTTAATATTCAGTGATGGACATTGAACGTAGATTTCTTTTGTGTCTCGTGACCTTGCGTCGTTTCGCTGGCCCGTTGTCTTGGGTTTTCGTATTTATTTCGGACAGCATGCTTACTTGTCACGTAGACGACTTCTTGGGTTTCGATCGTTCTGTGTTGTTCAATCTACATGATTGCTATTGACAATATTTTGATTCTGATTTTCATTTCTCTCTTTGACGTTAGTTATTTCGGACTTCTTGGGATTGTTAGGTCTTTCCATTTAACTACCGGAATCTCTTTTGACTAAATTGACTGAGTATTTTACTTCCTTATTTTCCTGTCAGAATTCTTTATTACTTTGACAATTGTAGATTTAGGAACTATCGAAGCCTCATGATCGTTGATCGATCGGAATAACCAAAGGGTGTTTTCAAAGAAATTAATTTGTTTTATTGTATCGAGTCATTTAAGCCTGATCAAATATTATGATTTTTCCTCGCAATTCTGAGTTGAAGTCATTTATTCAGTCAATACCCAGTCATACTTTAATCTAAGCTTCACCAGTGACCTTCACGCCGTTCTTCGGTCTGAGTTAGCAGAAAATCGTTTCGAAGCTTGGGGTTATTCTGGAAATTTTGATTTTGGTTGTTCGTTTCGTTCCAGTGGTCGTTCTGGTAATAACGACCTGGCGCTCGACTTATTTGTTATTCCAGGGTTGTCGTGCGTCGAAGAGCTACGTAGTGGATCGAGGGTTCCGTGAACCTCAGGAAATTATGTAACAATACATCAATTCGCAACTACCCGATCGACGAGGCGCGCGCGAAGGGACACTGTTAAATTTTTTTTGAAATTTCAGCAATAGCTACATTTGAATTTTCAATGCTGTGAATTTGATTTCAATTTCAGATCGAATTGTTCATGGAATCTCTCATTCAGCGTGGAAATTCAAGATAATTGGGTTTTCCCTGTTAGATTATCATTGATATTTCAATGACATCGAGAATTCTGAAACTCATTGCGGAAATTGAACATCTCATCCAACTGAATTTTCAGTGGATTGAAAATTCGTGAAAATTGTCGTTTGAATTTTCAAAATCTTTAATAATTTCTATGGTCATGCGGGCCTGAAAATTACAATTCCATTCAATAATCCAGAATTCAACTGATTTTTCAATAACAAAATATATGAAAATTTCGTGTGAGTGAGTGACTGCCAAAAAATTTTTTTGATCTGACGTGAGAAAATTTGTTACTTGCGATTTCTCGACTTGTCTCTTGTCTAACCCTTCTTATAACTCGGCCTACACGGATGCATATTTTCTGCATGAGTACATATTCTCTGTCAAATCTCTCTGGCTCTTTGTTCGTAACTTTTCCCCCACCAACGGTCTTACATGCACATCTTTTCCACCGCGGCGCTCTCGCTTTTTCACTGCCAGAATGAAGACATCAATATAAGTGTTAATTCAAAGAATTCCAACCACTGGAGCTAAGCTCTTAGGGAGGGTTTACCATACATACTATACAGATATTTTCTAAAATCATGAAATATTGTCATTTCATGGAATTTCAATAGTTAAATAGTTACTATTTGACATTTCATGGCATTTCAATAGTCAAATAGTTACCATTCACTTGACTTCTATGTAGCAGCAATGTAATCAGTTATCTACTCATTTTCTTATTTTATCCAATAATTATTTTTGAATTTTTTATAGGTAAGCGGTATGGCAACAGAGGCACAAATCCTTGAAGCACTCCGAAGATACCCCCATAGGCCAATTTACGTACAAAAATGTCTCTACAACTTGTTTCGCTTAACACCACATTTCAGCGAAGCACGTGTAGACGTGATAAAGCTTGTACTACCTGGTATGCGGGCTCATCCCGACGAATTTCGCGTCCAAATGGCCGCCACAGCTTGCCTCTATAATTTGACTAAGGGTGAACTAGCAACACGAATTCATCCAAATATTCTCAAGCAGATTGTAGATCTAACATTAATTGCAATGGAGTCCTATCCAAATCATTATCAGTTACAAAAGAATACCCTGCTCACACTCTGCAGTGATAGGATTCTACAAGATGTCGCTTTCGATAAATACAGGTAAATTATGTAAAGAAAAGAATCTACTTATTGTTTATATGAAAAATTGCCTCCCAATCTTCAAAGTTTTTTTCCTATTTTTTATCGAACAGTATTGCGTGTAACGCGGCGAGGAACCACAAACTAATTTTTACGTCAAATTCAATTCTCCGGGCTAAATGTAATTAAATTCTTTTCAATTACGTATTTCCCAGTATTCGATTTTTGGTCGATTCAATATTTCTCAATATTATTCCGATATTTTATCACGGAGTTCCATGTAGTTCCTTTCCACGTTAACGATTTTAACAACAATAACGATAATTACCTGTGGCAGCCACCGTTGAGATCAATTCTTATTTTTTAATGTTGAATTTCCGTTGGGTCAGTTTTTATTTAAATTGGTCAAAAAGAATTTTCGAAATACTTTCATTAAAGGAAACAATTTTAGTTACTATGAATTCATCAAAATTCTGTGAATTGAAATTATTACTATTCAGGCCTTTAATTGTTTCTTTTACAAGAGAATTACCAAGATAATTAATTAATTGTAATTTAAGAATAACGATTTCCCTCATTTAGATTCAGTACTTGAATTAAATGCCAGGCGTTCAAAAAAATAAGTATAACTAAATTATTAGAAATAATAATAATGACCGAATTTATTCAATTGAATTGATAATCAATAGAACTCCTCTGAATTTATTTACAAAGTTGTGTGATAAAACCACGTCTGGAATTATCACTATCCATCCATACCAAAATTACGAATGGTTTGACTTCCGGTTTAACATTCGTATTTACACGCTTCAAAACCAGTTGAAATTCCCCAAATTCCCAGGTAACTTGATAAACAACCGCTTCGAGTAATTAATGCTATTCTGATAGCACGCCGAGATAATTGAGAATTGTTCAATTAAATCAACGCATGAGCAATTGATCCTCAATTCCGGTGACCCTGCCATGTGTCGAATATCACGATGGCGTAATCGGTGACGCCGATTACGCAATAGCCAAAAATCCCAGTTTTCATTATTTTTCCCTCAAATCACAAAATTCGTGTACTTTACAAGATATTCTGACGAGAATAACTCCCACTTTCACCCAAGAAATATCGCGGATCAGTTATCCCAACCCTCACATTCCCACCGATACCAAAATACCTCAAAAGTGCTCACAATACAACGCGTATTTCCAGCAGTGAGAATCTCTCTATTTTAGGGTGATATTCGCCTCGCTTCCTTCTCTTAGGATGTCAGGCACCTTCGGGTGACCCTCCGTGAAATTTACTTTTCTAGGTTTAAATTAATTAATTAACTAGTTTTCTTATAATTAAATTTTAGATTTTGAGTGTCACCACTGTTCAACCAACAGGGGTGACGATAGGATCCAGAGTGTTCCAAAATGGTTGGGGGCGGCTCCTAGTCGTCTTCTCCGTTCCGCTGGATCCTCCCCAGCCAATTGGATAACTCCACTTGTCAGGTATCTCCCTTCCTGGGTCAACTACGTGGGTATTGGATAATTATCTTAACCCCAGCACCTTCACGGTCAAGGTGGGAATTCACACCCTTGAATTCCATTCTTCCGGGTGTTGTCATTGGCTCCCAGTTTGCTTCTCATGCCACAGGTGGTGGATATCTGAAGTTCAGCCCTTTAATGATCGTCGATCGCAGGGTCAGTGACCTAGGTTACCGACCTCGTTCAGGAGATGTTATTTTCCCATCTCCAATTATCCGTACAAATAATTCCCTGGAGTTCGTGCTTGTGTGACATTCCATTGAATGTCGAGGTTCAGATTCTCTTCCCAGTAACCTTCAGTCGTCCATCGGGTCTTCGATCTCCTCAGGCTAACACCCTTGCCCTTCTGTTGACATGCAGGTTCCCCCTAACCTCCCAGCTATCACTTCAGGTCTTCTGGTGAGTTCTTAAAGTTCCTTGACACGGGTTTTTGGTTTATTTGCTCTTTTCTTCTCTTCCCAGTATGGTTACCAAGCTTGGTGGTTGTTGTTTCCACTCGTATTCCCATCGAGGGCCACTCCCAACAAGCAGAGATCCCACTGGCAGAGTGTTGTTGTCCTCGTCCAGACTTCAACGTTCCCAGTCCCCCTTCTTGGTGGTTGATGGATGAGGAAGGCTTCTCTGGAGGTGTTCCCAATTTTACAACAATTGTTTGTTCTTACGGCTAAGGGGAAGCAAGGTGAGAAGTTCCCTTGTTTTCAATTCAATCATTTTAATAATTTACTCCATTTTTCTAGGAGCGAGGCTTGCCCTCGTGACAAGTGCAAAATAAGAAAAAAGATTACCACTGAAGCTCTCTAACTCAATTATTGGCTGAGATATTGAAGATTGTTTTTATTTTTGTTCATCTTTTTTTTTCACTTCTAATTATCAGTCACTATCAATAAAAAAAAAACTTTGAAGCCACCAATTTCGTTGGAAATTTTCCCAACCTTGCGAAAAGAATTTATGTTTTTTACCGAAAGGAAGCATTGCAATCTTTAAACTCCAAGTTTACAGTTTTTTTGGGTTTTTACCGACGTCGGTGGCCGAGTGAGCTAGACCCCAGTCTAGTGTGCGGAAGGTTGTGAGTTTGATGTCAAGTGGAACCGAATTTTCCAGCCTGAGATTCCGCTGAGCGGGAGACCCCTAATGGAGTAACTGCTTGTACCGGCATGGGTTTCCTGTGGTTTGCTATAGTACTATGCTCTATACTATAAATTTTAAACCATCGAAATGCAGTCAACGACCGCGAAGAAATAACTTTAATTGTCGCCAAAATTTTAAATAATGATTTTTGGTGAAAATTTCAATCGAAAAAAAATGAAGTTTTTGAGATAATTGACATCGAAAAAAAAATGGTTTGCCGTATAGAGCCCGTAAAACAGAATAATGCCAAATGTGACTGTTCATTTTGGAGCTTTTGCCTTATTTATTCCCTGTATCGACGGGAAATTCCATAGCTCCCAACTTGAATTGAATATTGATAACAATTTCCTTTATTGTGATTTTAAACAATCAGAGTGCAGTATTCGGGGTCACATGATGCGTTTCACACTGATAATTTCGCCGGCTGCAGGGAAATTATCAGACTTATAATTTCCCTGTAAAATTATCAGACTTATAATTTCCCTGTAGCCTATTAACTGTTTTCTACGAATTTGACAGATATTCCTCACATTTTGGTGAAATGTGTCCCGTAACCCCGAACACTGCACCCTGATCGGCCAAAATCAGAATTGAAAAAATTATCCTCCAAATACCCCTCGACCTTCAACATTCATCGGATATTTCCCTCATGTTTTCCTGCATATCAACGATCGGGATCAGTTTTGCAGTTGTAAGTAAATCAAAGTGTCAAGTTTTGCAGGTTAAAAAATTTCCGTGCAAACAAACTTACAACACAAATTATGTAAGGATATTTTCCTGGGCTGTTCCCCCAGGACAAGTCCAAACTACTTTTAAGCCTTCTTTATCGCTCATTTATTGGGCGCCAGCCGAACTTTCACGGCAGGTTCGACGAAAACTGGCCCCTGAGGCTAACTCGTCTAACCAGGGGACTTCTCGGCTGGACAATGGGTTGCCCAGCTAAAATCAGTGGGATACAGTAGAGTGGGCGAGGTCCACCAGGAGTATAACCACCACTTCCCCACGGCCTTTGCAAGCCGTGGATTATGTCTTGCGGCATAACTCCCTTAGTGAATTAACTTCATCTTTCCTCCGGAGGATCTTCCGACTCCTCTGGCATGCTTCCTCGTCCCGAGTATTTCTGCTCGGAAGAGTTTCTGAATTGTTTGCGAATCAGCCGGAACTCCTTAGAGCCTGGGACGTTGACAGGCTGATCTGACCAGGGTGGAACTACGTTACCCACGTTACGACCACCCACACTCTCAACCACCAGTAACCGCTTCGGTCATCACGTGTCACTGCCTCCGGGTAGTACTAAACCGTCGGCGTATGGCCCATCCGCCTCGAATCGTTCCGCCGAGACTAAAAGACGACGGACACGACGAAGTCGTCACTTCGCGTTCCGCAATAACTCAGATTTACGCGCGGGGAATGCGGGGGGATTCCCCTATATTCGCCGCCACAGTTATGCACCAGGCTAAGTGGAGTAAGACTCCTTACCATGGCTTCTTCAGCCATTCACCACTCCAGCACACCTAGAGATTTTTCCAACCTCTAGGTTCCAGCCCTCCCATACGACTCCCTTGGAATCTCACGAGGGCCTTGCCTCCTAGTCTGGATATCTCGGCAACGATAGGTCATTCCGTTACCCTATCCCCACCAATCAACCCGACGGGATCCCGGAGGTACCAGTCCTTCCACCTGGCCGTTGGGCCCTAGTCTACTCCGACATAGCCTTTAGAATCGCCCAGTTGGACAGCCTGTACGTCGGCCCCTTTTCCCCTAGCACATGCTGAATAGCGAGAGTAACAGCGTCCTCCAGCCCTCCAGGGGTCGCGGTTTCACCCATAACCACTATGCCTTTGGTCTTTCATTGGTCTGTGGTTCTTCCCATCTAGTCGCGGTTTTCTTCAGCCGTCTCTAGATGTCACTACCTGTCGCTCTTTTAGTGATTTAAGAGTTCACATATTTCTTTAAGGGGATTTCCACCCGTAACGAGAAAATCTCGTTACAAATGTAATAGATAATTTTGAAGCACGAAGCGTACTTTTTGGAATATTTACCAAAAACAGATCTCGGGCCCTCAGGATGCAGTATTTGAAGTCACAATTTCGAGAACAAATGAAGAGCTAGTCTATAATATTCAAAAGCTGGTGCGCAATATCAGATATAAAACTTTTTCCAGCCCATCGCGTGACACCAAAGACTGCATTTGGATTGGCCGTGATTCGTTGGTGGGAAATACTCATCTAAAAAAAAGTAACACTTTCAAAAAATCATAACTTCCTTAATTTTTGACATTTTTCAATTTTTCCTCCAAATGTTTGTTTAAAGACCAACTTTTGAGAAAAAAATTGTCGAGAAGATCCTCGCCATCGACTTTTTGACCTTCTGTTTTGGTATGGAACTGCTCATATGGCATATCACGAAGGCCTCGTGCGAAAGTCAGACACAAGGATAAAAGCTGAGGGCTAACGATGTTCAAGCGATGACGGAATGTAGGAGATGAGGCGGAGGGGAATCAGTTTTATTTCTGCAGAAAACCAATCCCTGAACACGAAAATTCGGTCTCCTTCAATTAAATAATACGACCATATTTAGATTTTTCTGTAGTCAAATAATATTTTTTATAACTATTTAATTTCTTTCCTATGTCCTACATGCATCAATTTTTATATGCTTTTATATATACATTTTTAAATGCAATTTTAATAATAAATGGAAAATAATTAATTTGTGTAAAAAAATGTGGCAACGTCGGCCCGACGTCAGTTTTTTCTCTTCGGAGTTGGTTGGCCTGCCATACTCTATGGAGAGTTCTCGCTGTACGTATTCACGCGCATAAATACGTGTCACTTTTTTCCATCGATATGCGTTTATCCAAAAAATTCGTCACCCACGTCGTTATAATTTACTACCGACAAGCAAAATAATAGTAAATGAATCCCAGGATCTCTCTGTGAAGACTCACGAATGAGTGCCAAGTATTGTCTGTGTTCGGCTTAACCTCTAATAGAGAATACTGCAGAAATAATGGTTTCTCTCAAGGAGAAGCGTGTTAAAGAGCAAAACTTTAATGAATTTTATTGCTATTTATCATCGGAAAAATTATATTCGGATGTCATGAAATCCATAACGGTCCTTTATTCACCTTTGCATTTACGGCGTTTACCCCCACCCGATCGGCAAGTTCTACGTTGTCGAAACTCAGCTTTGCGCGCAGAACTTCGGATTTCGACGTGGATACGTCTATGGTTTCAATATGGAGGGTCATTTTGGGAAACGCTTTTTATGTGCAGCGCCATCTATCGGAATTCTAGAAAATTCTAAACATTTCGAGATAATTCGAGAAGTTTCTTGAAATTTCGCAACAATTCAAGGAGTATCTAGAAATTTCGAGGTAATTCAGAGAGTTTCTAGAAAATTCGAGGAAATTCAAGGAGTTTTTAGAAAATTTGAGAGAATTGAAGGAGTTTCTAGGAAATTCGAGAAAAAAGGATGGACCATGGACGTATCCACGTACAATTACAGCTGTATCAAAGATACAGCCGCCTGCAATTTTCTAGTGGTTTTTTTTGTCAATTTTGGCTGAAAAACGAATCCAATCTATGATTTTCGACGTGGATACGTCAATGGTTCATAGTTCATAGTTTCATCTATCGGAGTTCTAGAAAATTCTAGACATTTCGAGGTAATTCGAGAAGTTTCTTGAAATTTCCAGGAAATTCAGGGAGTTTCTAGAAAATTCGAGATAATACAAGGATTTTCTAGAAAATTCGAGAGAATTCAAAGAGTTTCCAGAAAATTAAAGTACAGAAGCCTTCCTATTTTCCCGGCTCGGAACGTGTCCTTGATCAAAATTCTCATGAAAGTAAAATAGGAGGGCTCCCCCACTCTAACGATTATCGACCGGTTTTTGAAAAGGGATGGGGCCTTGATGAGTTGAGAGTAGGGAGCTGAACAGGAGGAGGGAGAAACAAACATAACCTTAAACTGTGATGTTGAGACTTTCTGTGTGCTGGATTTTTGTTAGATTTTCTAACGATGTAATGGATAATTTTTATTACTTGTTGTTTCTTATAATAATCAGAGGATAAATTAGAATAATATTATTTCTCATCGTAAAGCCACATCAACTAGATAATTATTCTAATTCCTAATAATTTTCACCGGGCAATTATCACAAATTTTTAATTCAATACAACTATTTTATCAACTAATGATTTCTAGAATCCTCGCTACTAGTACTAGTATTTGGCAGATAAATATTCACACTCGTAAATATTTTTTCAACTTTATTCCAGTAAAAGTACCACAGCCTCAGTTAAGTCACACATGTAACAAAACGTAATTTTTCTCCATAGATCATACAGATAATGAATTTAAATTAAGCTCCAGGGACTTGAGGAAACACAACGATAAATCTCTTCATTATTTTCTGGTTCACAAACCTATTGGCGTCGATCTGGTTTTTCCTTATGAATTGTGACGGAATTTTCGAGAATTCCGTCACCTGTACACAACTTAGTCGTAGAATTAAGTAAATCGTAAGAGTGAGTAGGTAAGTGTGAATTTATTTCGATCTTTTCGGAGAGAGAGTCGCGATTCCTTTAACCCCAAAGTTAGCACCCCTACCGAAGGGCGATGCAACACCCCTTTTAGCTCCAGCTCGTAGAAACCGGTCTC